TAATATTTTGTATAAACACTTTACCAAAATGAATGTATTCGGAGTAGTGATAATTTTTGACGAAATCTGGAAGGGAATTATATTCTGACGGTTTAACATTACTTTATCTCAGAGATCAAGTTTTCTGCTCACTAAGTTAAGTGAGGTCCAGTTTTAATCCAAGTGAATTTCGATTAACCTGGAAACTATGATGCCTGACTGATTTTCAAGACAATTTTTTCCCAAATGTTTATGTTTAAAGACTTATTACATTTGTTTTGATTTAGGAAAAGAAACAAACTAGTGAAAACAACTAGCTAAAAATTATTTTTCCATGCAAGGCGATAAATCCAATGATATTAACGATGAAATGCAGTTCCGTAAAGCATAGCCTCGAAAAAGGATGAGGAAATCTCAGTGAGATTTAAATGAGAAATAGAAAAATCCGATCCAATGTTTAATAAAACAAAGTTGGATGGAAAAGGCCAATCGGAGAAATCGTGAAATAGCAAATATTCAAATTCTTTCAATTTGTTCCTGTCTAGTTATACCGGGTTCAGGATTTTCTTTTGTGCTTTATTCTTTATTTGCAAGATATATAATTGCATCAGAAAACTAAAAGTTTTCCAGCCCAGCTAAACTGGAACTGCCCACTTCTCCATTTTCACTAGTTCCAAGCTCCCCAACTTCTAAGGCCGGGCCAAGCTCCGTCGCAGACAAGTTGTGGGAATGTGAGCTGAGGCGCTGTGATCGACTCGCTTGCTGATCAAGAAGACGAATAAGCTCAGTCTGACCTTGATGAGTAGCGAACTCATCCACCAGAGAGTCGTTGTTGCCACGCAGCACAAGATCAAAAGGTTTCAAACCAAGAGCGTTCTTTAACTTAACGTTGGCACCATGGCTGTTGAAATAAGAATATAAAAATAATAGGTATACGTGGAAGAGGATTATAGGCAAATTGTTCGTATTTTTAAAATAGGATGATACTGGAGTAGCTTTCAGTTCATTGGAGAAGGCGGGTCGAAGGGATTTGTAGATTGGCCTCACCGGATATCACAGGAAGGTTGCCCTGGGCTTTTGTCTGTTAAATTGGGCGAATAAGATCTCGGATCACCGTCCTACGACCCTGATGAGTCGGTGCTGAGCCTCCGTCCGCACAGCGACGGACATTGTAAGAGCCAGAAACCATCATTCACGAAAAATAACCAAAAACACTAAACCAAGAAAGAGTGGCCAGATAAGTTCCTACTTACTTCTTATACCTCACTTTGCGATCTTAATGAGGCATTGTATGATTTAGTTGGCTGACGTATGCTTGTCCTACATGCATGTAAGTGGTTCAAAGTGATGCAGGCAGGGGAACGGATCCGATCACAGCTTTTATCAATGTAAATAAACAATAGTATGATCCAGTTGTCCTTGGTCTTGCTACAGCTTCGTGGATTCGTGTTTGCGCATGGATGTAACAACCTCGAGTTAGTTGATAATTTTAGGCTCAAAAACAAGTTACAGCCTTATCTAGTCTTCTCCTCTTACTCAGTGGCTATTCCTGTTCCCTTTCATTCCCTCTCTCTTTCTTTCTCTCATCCTATTTCCAAGCCAGAGATAGTTCTTACTTAATTTCTTATATTGATTCCCTGATCTTCCGCTTAGCTGTGAAGTCCCCATATACGGCAAAAGTTGGGATTTAGATCATTCTATCTAATGCCATGTAGCGACCACATGTTCATCTACTTCTGATTTATAAAACCATAAACCTTATCAGGAGTTTCCATATTCTGATAGCTTCTTATGTATGGGTCGGCCGGTCTCCCTCCCATGAACACTAACACGAGAGCACACAACCTTATAACAATCTGATCTGTAGAGAGCGTCGGTAGATTCTTTAAAAGAAGGCATGACTAAGGCAAGCGTTATTGTTTCTTTATACAATGAAAGGGAACAGGAATAGCCACTGAGTAAGAGGAGAAGACTAGATAAAGCTGGAATTTGTTTTTGAAACTAAAATTGTCAACTAACTCGAGGTTGTTACATCCATGCGCAAACACGAATCCACGAAGCTGTAACAAGACCAAGGACAACTGGATCATACTATAGTTTATTTACATGGATAAAAGCTGTGATCGGATCCGCTCCGCTGCCTGCATCACTTTGAACCACTTACATGCATGTAGGACAAGCATACGTCAGCCAACAAAATCATAGAATGCCTCATTAAGATCGCAAAGTGAGGTATAAGAAGTAAGTAGGATCTCAGCTGGCCACCCTTTCTCGGTTTTGTGCTTTGGTTATTTTTCGTGAATGATGGTTTCTGGCTCTTACAATGTCCGCCGCAGAGCGGACGAAGGCTCAGCACCGACTCATCGGGGTCGTAGGACGGTGATCCGAGGTCTTCTTCGCCCAATTTAACAGACAAAAGCCCAAGGCAACCTTCCTGTGATATCCGGTGAGGCCAATCTACAAATCCCTTCGACCCGCCTTCTCCAATGAAATGAAAGTTATGCCAGTATCAATCTATAAAGGGATTCTCCAAAACCCAGCTTCTCTTCATAATTTTAAAGTAGGCTTTGATATCTACCAGTATATCTCGAATAAGAACTGTGTTCACCCTATTTAATGAAGTGGATTGCTAGCTCACTTTCCCCACAATGATGTAAGCAGGCCTTACGTTTCCATTGAATTTAACATAGCCCTGCTTTCCAATAAGGTTTGCTAATCATGGGGCAAAACGGTTGAAAAACATATTGAAAATCATTATGTTATTCCAATAAATAATTGCTAAATAATTGCTAAGCATGTATCGAAGTAGCAATTAAAGCTGATTCCGTATAACAATAATATAATAAATAGATGAAAGCAAAGATTGTAAAGTCTTTGCCTTTGTCGTATTTTTTATCCGCTGAGTATAGTTTCTTTAACTTCTAGCCCGCAACTTATTCATACTTTCAGGGCATCCTTGTGGAGCCAGGCCAGAAATGCATCCTATGTTTCCATTTTTATATTTTCTTCTAGCGTCGGACCATCGACGAAGTACATTTTTAAACGTTTCTTCAACACTGGAATCGGTGTAATTAATGACTGACGCCATACTTGGAACCATTTTACGATTCAACAAATGAAACGTAGTAATTCCAAAGGACTAAATTTTCGAAGCTTTTTAGTTCTATTCTCTGTATGTCTCTCCCTCCCACACCATATGGCTAAATTATATCTCTACCAAAATTAGTATTTTCATTCAACAGAACATGAAACATGCCTCTCCTTAAGGATTTTATTGTGGCGTAGTCCTTTTCGAGGGCTTTCTATCTCCTTTACAAGGCAATGCCACTCAGCAAGCAATTTCACCCAACTCTTATCAGCTTATTCTTTCGTGATTTTGTTAAAAGGTTTACCTTGAAATATTTTTTCTTTAAAAAGCAGCACTTATTTTTCGTTTATAAGTAGGTATTCAAGATAACCAGTAGATTGTTCATGAGATATATTAACCATATTGCGTTAACGTAATGTAGGGCTCATAGTAATGTAAGCAAGCTAAGCTACCAGTCCTTTATCGTCTT